ACATGCTACATGATACCAAAGTGCAAAATTTTCTAAACTGTTCTCAAAAAATAAAAAGGAATAAAAGTATTAAATATTATTAAATAATAATAAAAATAATTCTAGGGTGCACTGTGTTTGTGTGTTTCATTGAAATGTATGAGACTGAAGCCAAGGGTCCTGAGTATATTGGGCTTCACATCTCCCTCTGTTCTATGTACCCCCACCCTCAAATGGACTTTAAAACTGAAAAAAAAAACAACCAACTGTCTGGTGTGGTGTGTGTTTGTGTGTGTGTGTGTGTGTGTGTGTGTGTGCGTGTGTGGAGGCAGAGGACAACTTTGTGGAGTTGGTTCTCTCCTTCCACCTTTTTGGGATTCAGATAGCCTTGCTGAACCATCTTGCTGCCCTCCCAAACCATTGTTTTTCAAAGTTTCTGTTACTCAGTAGAGTGTTAAAGGGTCAACATGTACTAAAGATAATCTTGTATCACACTAACATAGCAACCACCCAAGTAACAGCTGAGACTGTCATTCAGGCCTGCTTTGTCGCTGATAGCTCGTTCTGCCCACGTTGTCCACTCTTGACTTCTTCCTCTGTTGTCGATCTAAAGCCACTTACTAATAGACACACCAAACCGTCTCAGAATCAGTTGCTCAGAGAATCTGGCAGGTACAGAGAAAGGGCCTCCTTTTGATTCATGCAGCAACCTTTTCTTAATCTTAGGGGGGAAACATAATTAACAATTATCTTAAGGGAGGTTTATGGCTAACTAGATTTATTTAATTATTTGTAATATAGTCTCTATGTTTTTGTTTATGCATTATTTGAATGTGTCCTATATGAATAGATGTTCACTTTACTGGTCACTCAGGAACTCAACTTGGAGGAAAAATTGCTAACTCAAAACAGGAAGCATGTGTTAGTCCATTTGCTCTGCACTATCTAAGGTATTTTCGGTTGGGTAATTTATAAATAGAAATATCTTTTCTCACATTTCTGGAAGCTGGAAAGTCCAAGATAAATCAGTGTACTCATTGGTTTAGTGACTAGAAATGCATCTTGTCACGGTGTCCTCATAGAAGATCACAGACTTCCTCCAGCCTCTTTTACAAGGTGGCCAATCCTATTCACATGGGCTCCATCCTCAGGTCCAGATGCTTTCTATTATGGACACACCTCCAAACCACATCACCTTAGGGGTAGTTTTCCACAGGAATTTTGCAGGGACATATATATTTAAATAATAAAGAGCTTGTAACTCATAGCAAACAGTTGTGATTTTTTTTAATGTAACAATGTTAAGTTCTTTATGTTGAGACAATTGTTACCCCTCTCATTATTTTGGAGAAATATTAATCACTACTAGTTGCATAAGATTCTGCCTGGGATGTTAATGATTATACCTTTTTTCTTAAATCATTGGAATGGCCATGTGACATAGGTATGGCCAATCAGGACACTGGATCACTGGATCATCCTCAGCCACAGAGAAATAGATATGTTACCTAAATCAAGGGCAGTTTAGTTCTGGTAGAGAAAAGAGTGTATGTGTTTTCTTATGTGTATGTTTGTATTCTCTTTTTGAACACTTGGAGAAATTCATTTTAAAAAGTGTCTTCATTTTGGATTTTTCTGGTTATACAAAGTCATGGAATCCTTTTAAAACTAAACTAATTTGAGCTGAATTTCAAACCACTTTTCAGCAGACCAGTCTAACTTAAGAACAGTTAATTTGAAAAAGTTACATATTTATGAAATGTTGCAATATAGAAAAATATATGATTGCATGATATAGTTAGGTAAATAATTCTAAGGCACTGACATTCTTTTTGGTACTGACAGGTTAGCATTTTTTGATTTGATTTATTTCATTATTTTAAATTAGGAAATGATTATAATTAATTTGTTCTAAGTCAATGTACAATACTACCTCTTCAAATAGTTACTCAGGAAGCATTAAAGTATATAAATAACTGCAACCATACACTAACTGTCCAATCAGATATAGACATTTCCAACTGCCACTCTTAAACTACCACAGCAGTCAGGTAACAGGTGGTAGGAAAGGAGTATTCAGAAGTTGAAGTTCTGCTCTGGGAACACTTCTTGGGACCTGAGAATGTTTTTCAGTGGGAAAACTCCTTCCTTTCCGCATCCTACCTTGCAGGATATTTAAGCCAATGAGATACCAATACCATTGCTTTCTGCAATTATTGTTTCCACAATAGGTATAGAAAAGCAAATGCTCATTCATTAATTAACCTCAATTATATACCAAGAATGCTCATGGTAGGGTTATTTTTCCTTCCAAAAAAGACCCAGTTCCATTTAATTTGCTATTTTCAAGCATTGGTCTAGAAGTGCTAGCCAGTGCAATAAGACAAGAAAGAGATACGTAAGAGAAATAGTATTAGCATTGAAGGGAGAGAAGGTATTTACTAGAAAAGAGATTGTCTTTCTGGATGAATCAAGATCAACTAAAAGAGCTATTGTTACATGTGGGCAAAGTCTATAAAACGCAATTCGTTTTTTATATATGTAATTAGTCCATATAGTTGTGGGCAGTAAAAAAACATTTCATTCACAATGACAAGTGTGCCCTATATTGAACTGAAATATAAAGCCAACATGAGCTTATAATACAGTATTTGTGGAAGGACAGCCAGCTTATTAAAGATAAATGGCTAGTGGTGCTGGGAAGACTAGTCAGCTAGTAAAGCACTATGTACAAGCAGGCGGACCTGAGTCAGACCCCCAGCACACATGTAGCAAGGCTTGCATTGCACCATGTGCCTGTAATAGAAGTGCTGGGGACGTAGAGACAGGGATGTTCTGGGACATGCTGGCCAGACTGTCTCACCAAATTGTTGAGATCCAGGTTCAGTGACAGACACTGTCTCAAAAAGTAAGATGAACAAGGATTGAGGAAGACACCTCTATGCTCCAGAAGCACATGCATGTGCACCTGCACACACATATGCACACACAAATATGTACATACACAGACATACAAAACAGCTATGAAGTAGGCTCTGCTCATATGGAGGTGTGAGAATGCCTCTTCTAATGAGTAGAGATAATGAAGTACTCTCAGTAAATGGTATGACAGTGATTGGCAAACACTTTTCAAATTGCAATCCCAATCATAAATTGTAGAGAGTATAAAATTTGCATACAAAATAAACTCATACAAGGAGTTAAAAGATAATACTATGTTGCACCAAGACAGGAACTGGGTATTATTGTAATTGTGGGACTCAGAACAACAAATACTGCAATTCTTGCTCATATGCGAAACTGAGCATTTGATTTTTAATATGTGTGTATTTATGGGTGTGAGTGTGGGCATAGGCCATGAAATTAGGAAAGGGATCATAAGGGGGGGGGCAAGAGGCTTGAAGGATGAGGGGCGGGGTGTACAATAGGATTACGTGACAGGGAAGGATCCAGAAAGATGTGCCGGTGCATAGGAGAGAGGAACAGAAAGGCAGGAGAAACCAAAGCCAAGTATGTGACATATGTATAAAAACCCATAATAAAAACTATTACTTCATATGTTAAATAAGACAACACATTTTTTTTTTACAGTTTAAAACTTGTAACTCCATGAAGTCTTTGGTAAAAAGATAACATAGACAAACAGAAAATCAAACAATAAATTTAGAAATAAAATTGAAATCTATGACAGAGTGTGATGAATATATTGAAGCCAGTATAAATAACTAAATCTAGTTAAATTTAAAAGGGTCAAATGTAAGCTTTGCAGAGTAAACTCATGTTCTTTAGGATTTACCTTTTGTACTTGATGGTATATGCTGACTAATGTCAACAAAGCAGGAGTGGATGCTTGATGCTTGAATTCTTTACATTTAAGACTTAAGATATCAGAAATCCTTTTATTTTTAAATGAGAGGTTGATTTGAATGAACTGATTTCCAAACTATGGGGATTGCCTTTGTTTTAATTAAAATCCTTCACAGGGCACCTAGCGCTACTACACGCAGATGGGTGTTCAATGCTAACGACGTGCCCTACAGAACGGCTCACACAGCGCGTGAAACAGTTTATAATCATGGATTCCTTCATGACAGCAAACATGACTGATTAGATCAATATCATTTGCATATCATTATGGGTTTGATGTTGTCTAGTCTCTTCTTACATCTTAATCACATCTTAGTATGCTAAGAGAATATCAGCAAAATTATGGAAACTTTCTCACATTCTATCTCTTATGGGATTCTACAGATGGAAAAAGTAGTAAAGTCTCGTGAGATGTTGTGTCACTAATTTGATGATATATTGCTTTGCAAATATATGATCCTTAGTTGTTTTTTTTTTTTGTTTTTGTTTTTTGTTTTTTTTTTTGATTTTCGAGACAGGGTTTCTCTGTAGCTTTTGGTTCCTGTCCCGGAACTAGCTCTTGTAGACCAGGCTGGCCTCGAACTCACAGAGATCCGCCTGCCTCTGCCTCCCGAGTGCTGGGATTAACTGCACTGTAAGCTACTTGTTCCTAAAAGTCGTCACTTTTCTTGTTTTCCTGGCATCGTCAATTATACCAGCTGGGTGCTTACTGAACTTAGCAGTTCAACTAATATCTTTTTAAAGCACCTAACACGTACGCATATGTAGGGAACTAGAGCAAGTAAGATAGATATGATTTTGACCTCATAGACTTGATAGTCTCTATGGGGAGTCAATGAGACTAGCGTGCTAGATTCAAACCAGGCATTGCTCAAAGAAAGTTCAGCAGCTGTCAGAGCAGATCAAGCAAGTAACAGGTTCATCCCTTGTTATCCCAGCCCCAGGCAAGTATTTTCAACCCCTAATAAAACACTCAAATTATTTTTAGATATTTGACTGTGCTCCAAGTACCGAGCTAGACACTTTGTAGATCTTGAGAAATAAATAATTATCTCATTTATGAGCGAGGAAGTTGCTAGAGTGTTTAATGACAAACCAAGTGTTGCATAATGGCTAAGTCATGGCCTTAAGGTCAGACAGCCTGGTGAATCTTGGCTACACTGTCAATTTACTGGGTGAACAGTTTCCTTTATAACCCCAAGCATCAGGCTTTTCTACCTATAAAAACAGAAATAAAACCAGGCAAGTTGATGCAAGCATTTGCTACAGAAAAGGAGGTAAGTTCAATTATGTAAGGCATTCAGAGGAAATTACTTTGTGTTGCAAATGCTTAAGGCAGAACTCAAGGAGTGAGTAAGTAATAAGGTGTTTGTTAGACAAGATTGGGAAAGGGAAGAAGATCCAAGGTGTGGGCGGGGACCAGGAAGTCTGGTGAGGAGTTCAGGAAGCATCTGAAAAATGATGCGGTGTCTAAAGGGAGCCTTGTCAAATGGCTTTGTCCGATGACCAATGGGAAAGTACAGTTGCTTTTTAAAAATCCAATTTCCGATGTCAAAAGGCTACTCTGGTGGTCATTTAGATGCTTGTTGAGACTAGAAAAATGTTAGGAGACATTGGTCAAAACCAAAGAACAAGAGTAGGGGAAAGTAACCACTTGGGGAGACAGGATGCAGAGGCCTTTCATGGCATGCATGTGAGGCAGGTAGGACCCCTGTTTTTAAAGAGAAATTGGGCTTGGAAATACCAGGCTATTGTTTCCAACACTGGTTAGCCAAACAACAGACGGAATCCGTGCACAGTCTGGTAGCAAATCAAATGTGCATTTCTTTCAGCAGCATGCAGCCTTTCCAGGGGACAAGCCGGGGGTGCTGGAATTGAGGCGATGACAATGATGATCAAATGCACAAAAATGACATAGTCTTTGATGTTTGATGTCTGATGTGGAGAATGAAGATGTCTGGATGACTCGCAGACAGAGGAAGGCATGGATGATTATAGAGGATCTTATGTGGAGTAGAATATGGCAGGGAAGAAAAGTGGTCTCTGGGCACTCAGTGTATTGGCGCAGCTTGCACTTAGACAAAGATGAGGGCCTTAGAAGGTCTTGGCTGCTATTTTTCCTTATTTTTAAAACAAATACAGACCTCAGAAGTGGGATTTGGTTTTATACTTTAAAAGCCTTGCTTTCCAGTGTAGGGCAGTGTTTGAATCTGTGTATAACCAGAGGTTATCTGGAGTATGAATAGCAACACCAGGAAGACTGGGTCCTCTCTCAGACTCAACCAGACCCATGTCTGGCCACTGACTTCAGAAGTGCTCAGGTGCTGTGGAGACCTTCTGGACACCAACAAGATGTCCTTACTTGAGTGAGTTTTGACCATTCACTGTCAAAAAGGGACAGGTATACCAGAAAATCTGTGCAAGCTGTTCAGGCTTTCATAAGGAGGTGGGCATGGTGGCGCATGCCTTCAATCCCAGTACATGAGAAGGAAAGGCCGGTAGGCAGACTGACCGCTGAATTCCAGGCTAGCCTGGTCTACAGAGTGAGTTTAAGGACAACTAGGGCTACACAGAAAAAAAAAAAAAAAAACGTCTTGAACAACAGCAACAAAAACAACAAAAACTTGAATTAGAGTAGAGAGAGCCATTACATTAGAAAAAGATAAATGGCCTGTCACATTAAAGACCCCAGTGCTGTCATTTATTATGAAAATGACTGGAGTAGCCTTGAGCCTCACCCTGAAACTTGTTTGAAGGAAAAATCTTGGGTTCTACCAGTGACAATTGGCTAGTAACCTGCCCCTGTCTGGGAAGAAAATCTGGTAATATGTACATGTCAAATTGCTTTCTATCTTTCTCCCTGCTTCACTCTCTGTCCCTGCCTTTATGTCCCTGACCGCTGCCACCACTCTCAAACCTGGAGACACTCAGAATGTGTCCCACAGGTTTTGGGATGTGTGCCTACAGAGTTAGAATCAAAAGTCAAGAAGAGAGGGTAGAGGACTTCCAAAGCTCCGAACTGGAACAGGAATTATAAAATAAAATTATCGGTAAATGTGGCTGCAGAAAACACAACCCTCAAGAAATAAATAAAACATCAAGTTACAGGCTGTGAAAAATTGCTGAATCATGTATAGCAGAAAAAAAAAGTCACTCTGCAATTTATTTTTTAAAAACCCATTCAAATAGATAAGCTCAGCAATAGAAAAATGGCCAAGGAACAGACAGACACGAAACAACAAACACAAGAGATGTACTCCAGTCACCAACAATGTTTCCCCTCACAGGAGACCACAAAGGCGTATTAAAACAAGAAATCAATTTGCACCTACAAATTGGCTTAAAATGTCTAATAATAGGTGCCTATTGCTGTTGGGTTATGGGAAAATAGACACTATCTTATGATAAATTTGAAAATATAAACGGGTATAAATATTCCTGGGGTGTGATTCAGCAATGTTTCAAAAGGCTTAAACACAGTCGTGTCCTTTGACCCCAAAAGAGGAATATATTGATTTGAAAGTACTTCTTCTGAAAGCAGTAACTAGAGATAGGCATAAAAATTTGCCTGTAAAAATATTCATCTTAGTAACTTTGTAAGAATACGAAACTAAAAACAACCTAAATCTCCAGGTTTATTAGACAATATATGTCATGTCTCTCAAATAAATTATTATTTAGACTTTAACTTATGGTGTAGATAAAATATAAATGCTTATAAAGTACTATAACTATAAAGGTAACATAATTAAAATTAAGTACAGTGATATGAAAATCTTATAAAAATGAACTCCTGTATACTTACACGTATTTGTATATCTGTATCCATATTTAAGTTAATATTTGCAAGAAGGAAAAACAGGCACATCTTTGAGAGCAGAGATTATCTTATCTTGTCCATGGGTTAGCTCCAAAGTTTCAACACAAGGGGCAGGATAATAATTTTCTACTGTATTGAAAAGTTTAAGGAAATAAACTGTCTTTTTTCCCCCTTATGATTCTTTAGTTGAAAAAAAAAAGTTGTGAATTCTACTCTTTAGTCAGAGCAAGAGAATGAATTTTAGTCTTGAAGAAAACGCTAATGAACAAAATTAACAGCTAAGGACAGAACCTAAGAGTGAATTGTCAGTATGGGGCTCACAAAATTGAAATACCACTTTAACCAAAGGGGAAGAGGTGATGCTGTAGGAAATTAAACAAATTCACATATAATTCCAGAAGCTCGGGCTTCACCTCCACAGCTACTTTGTGTCTTCCCTCTGTGACAGCATGGTGGCTTTAAAGCTGTTCTACGCAGCACCCTGAACGAGAGCTCTCAAGATGTCTCTCAAGCGTGAAATTCCTTCCAGGTTTACCTTTCAACATCTGCTTGAATTTTATATTCGTGTTCCATAATAAGACTATTTAATTTCATATAAAATCACTTGAAGTTGTTTAACTCTTAAATCACATTGGTTCTTTGGAAAATGTGTGTGTGCTCGCGGTCAGCCCTTGAGGACCTTTAGGAGGATGCCTCGTCACAGATGGACCCAAATTGCCTGCAAGCAGGTGCAGTGCTGTCTGGAAAAATAGTCCAAATGAGAATTTGCTAGCCTGAGTTCAGGAGGGGGAGTGGGCTAGCTGGTTGATATTAGCATGCCATCTGCTTAGCAGGTATAGCTCTGCAATGCGAAAACATCTCAAAGGGCAAGGATTAAATTAGATATGATGTGTTGAGCATAGCCTGATGTGCAGTATTCTCTAATTATACATTCCTGGTTATTTTCATCAGCATAGATGGGGTTCACACTCGAATGTCGCTGCCCCTTATCAGTAATTACTGTTACTCTGATTCAGTGTAAATCAAGCCATATTCACATGTGACTTGAATCCTCAAGGAAAATTCTCTCATAATAGTAGATGTGTGGCCACATTTATTTCTCTTTGGGAATTAATAAATGAATCCATCTAAACCACTGACCATCGCTCCGTGAACTGCATAATTAAATTTATTTAGTGATGAAATGGTGGTGATTTTTATCAAGATAATGCTGCTGCCTGAGAAATACCTGGGCTGTGATTCTTTTTAAAAATACATATATTGAGTAGTGGAGGCACATGCCTTTAATCCTAACACTTGGGAGGCAGAGGCAGGCCAATCTCTGTGAGTTCAAGGCCAGCCTGGTTTACAGAGCTAGTTCTAGAAGTGAAGCATGATTAGTAAAAACTCAGAGGAAGAAACTCTGGTTCAACCTGAAGACCCAAAAAGCAAAACAATCAGCCACTGGCTCTTACTTTGACCTCAGTCTGGAATGGCAATCCTACCTCTGGGAATCTCAGAATGAAACTGCACCTGTGAGAGCTACCTCCCCCTTTCTTACATTCCTTTCTAGGGCTAGGATTAAAGGCATGCACCACCGGGATTAAAGGTGAGTGTCGTTGTGGCTACTGGGATTAAAGGTGAGTATCATTGTGGCTACTGGGATTTAAGGTGTGTGTTACCATAACCTGGTCTATAAGGTTGACTAACCATCATGTCTCCAGCACTCTGTCCTTTTACGATTGTGTGTGTGTGTGTGTGTGTGTGTGTGTGTGTGTACCTGCACGGGCTAGAAGAAGACATCAGATTTCCTGGAGCTGGAGTTATAGGAGTTATATGAGTCACCTGACATAGATGCTGGAAACCAAACTTGTGTCCTCTGGAAGAAGAGCAAGTGTCCTTAACCACTGGGCCATCTCTCTAACTCCGTGATTCTTTCTAACAAATAACAGTACTTCATTTCCATATTCACCATTGGCAAGAACATAATTTCCTTGTGGCTCCCCTAGTCTGTAAAGCAGAAGCTTTTAGATCCTTTGTTATCCGTCAGAGTAAGAATGAATCTACAATGGGGTGCAGAGCACACATTAGGACTCTAAGAAGTAATGCTCGCCCTTCCCACACTTATTATCTAAGGCCAGAAGAGGCGAGCCTGACTCACGTGGAACCCACAGATGAAAGCAGCTTGGTCTACCATGCTAAGCCTCTCTGTTTCTTTCCTCTCTGTTTACTCCACTGACCAACCTGACTTGCACTAGTCTATGCCTTATACACACGTTCTCTGTCTGTGTCATTGTGGTTTAAATCACGGCTATCAGTGCAAGTGTCATTCAGCCTGAATTACGTCTTCAGCTATTCATCTTTTCTGGAGTTTTAAGGGACATTTTAATATATTTCTTTAGCTGAAATCCTCTAAGAATCTGCTAAGTTCTGACATCAGAGTATCAGAGTTAGCCAGAGACTTAGAGTGAATGAGGAAACTTTTTTTTTTTTTTTTTGCTCTATGAGATGCTCATTCATCCAACAGACATTTGTGTGTTGGGCATTGTGCTCTAGGCCACCAACTCCAAGTCACCCACACTTTGACCGTTCCAGCCTGCCTCCACCATTTGAACAGGGCCATCTCTGTGTATTCTGTGGGAACAAGTCCTTGCACTTAGTTCTTATGTTGTGCATGAGTTAATATGTGGATGTTAATGACCTAATATGGTATTTTATGTCTGGTTTTTTTGCAAACAAGAAAAATAAGTTTTGGATTCATATTGTTCTGGAGTTAGTCAGGGATAGGGTTAGGCCTGGGGTAGACTAACATCTTCTGCTTATCTATTGCCTCATGCTAAACATAATTTCTTCATTTGTAACCTCTTAATAAGAATTTTGTAAAGACTGAATAGAATAAATAAAATTATAAGTTTTTAAAATGCCTTATGATGCAGCTATTGCCTAATTGATGGCAAATGTTATTTAATTATTCCACTCACTGATTTTTCCCAGTCAGCGTATGTAAGGATGAGATATAGCACTGCACATCACAGTCTTCCTCTAGGGAGACTGCGCGTTCGTTTTCCAGCCACCCAGACCCGAATAGTCACACAAAGCTGTAATTAAACAGCACTGTTTGGCCGGTGGCTCAGGGGTATTTCTAGCTAGCTTTTACATCTTAAATTAACCCATTTCTATTATCTTATGCATCGCCACATGGCCGTGGCATTACCTCATTTTCTATATATCTTGTTTCCTCGGTGACTGGCTGGCATCTGCTTGATTTTGCCTGCTCTCTCTATATAAATATCTCTGTTTGGATTTCCTGCCTGGCTTTACTCTGCTAAGCCATTGGCCACTACAGCTTTATTCATCAGCCAATAAAAGCAACACATGCAGAAGGACATCCCACATCACACAGGTTAACACAGCACAGTACAGCATCATCATAAGTACTTCATGTAATTTACTATGTGAATTAAAAAAAAACTTGAATTGATTCTTTCCATTTTATCAATGAGGAAACCAAACTTATAAAATTCAATTTGCAGAGCTAGATTTGAACCCTCAAGTTAGAAGAATGTTCAAAGCTCTGATTCTGTGTGTGGTGTAGGATCAACTGAGGGTTAAAATTTTCCACAGATAAGATCCAAACTCCTCCTGTGTATACCTGTGACAGAATGGTTTCTGCCAGTACCAAAGACAAAGACTCTAGATGTTTCATTATTTTTCCTCTTCCACTAGTTTAGGACCATTTGGGAAACACTTGGACATTAAATAGTTGGAATAGATAGAAGATGAAACCATGTTTCATAATAAAAACATTTGTGACCGGTTTGCTTGTCCTTTCCAGCCACAGGTTACACTGCCCTGCAGCGTTCAGTGAGAAACATACTGACTAGCCGACGGACCTACAGGCCAAGCCAGTGGGGACGCCATCTGAGCATTTACTTACTGCTTGGCTCCCGGAGCTGCCTGCCTGGATGTTACGGCTTTCAGAGAGCTCTGTGAGTTCTGGAAGGCTATTAGGTTAGAGCATGCCTAAGCATGGTACAGCTGTTTGTTTTGGATAATAATGAGTGCTTTCCCAGCTGTGCATTTTTCTACCTTCCTTCTGTTTCCCCGGGGCCTGAGCATTCAGCAGTCCTGATTTTTTTTTTCTAAGCTGTTAAACTGAATCCAGAAATATCATTGTAGCATTTCAGGGGATCTTTTCTTGTCTGTTTTCAGTCTTAATGTTAAGCCTTAAAAATACATCTGTATGTACACACACATATGTACTCTTTCTCACATACACACATACATATCTCTCTTGTAATTTAACACCTAGGAACAGAGTTTAAATTATTTCCATTTGATGTATGCATACACGTTTTTCTTCCTTTTATTGAATCAATGTCTTTGCATATATAAAACCTACACTTAATTCCAAAGTTAAACATATATAGCAACATACATTCAGAGAAGTCTCGCTTTCCTGACCATTCTCTTTTCTCTGTTCCCTCCTGCTTTTAGATGTAGTGATTTGAAAATTTTCTAATTTTTTAAAAAAAAAAACCACAATATATATTCAGTGGAGTGTTCATCTTGTGAGCACGCTGCATGGTGATTTCTTACAGGCTAAACCCCCCCATGAGCCCACCATCAGGTGCACAAGCAGAATCCCACCAGCACTCAAGACTCTGACTTTGCACCCTTCTGGTCTCCGCCATCCCAGGGCAGCTGCTCTCCTGTGGACTGACTCTGCCAGATGTTGGACTAGGAGTGGGATAGCACAGCCTGTGAAGTGCTTCCTATTCAACAATACTTTGATGAGCTCCCTCACGGCTGTGTGCAGTGGGAAGTTCCTCTCTTCCATCTGCTGGTGTATTGGATCAGACTGTATGCATACTGTACCACAATGTAACCATGTTGGTGGTGGGGGATATGAGTGGCTAGTTTGGAGTTTAAATCCAAACTAGTTCTTTTTCTTAAATACATTAAGTTTGTTTCCATTTAAAAATATTTTTTAAGTTAACATTCAAAGTGATGGGTTTCATTGTGACATCTTCATACAAATGTGTCATTATACTTGGTTCTAATCCCTTCCCCACCCCCACTACACTGTCTCCTCTGTCACACTCTATACTGACCCTATTGTCATGCTCCCTTCTGCTTTTGTACCACCTGTATTCCATTGTGCCCTCTTCCCCGCATGTGCCCCTCCTTTAATATTTCTTTCTCATGGTCTCCTTTCTACTTTCATCACAAACACACACAGGCTTGAGTGCACACACACATGAGCAAGTACACACATGTGAAAGAGTACACATACAGGCACTAGCACACATGCACAAGGATACACACCTGTACATGAGTACACACACACATGATCACATACATTAAAAACATGCTGTATTTGTCTTAATGAGTCTGGCTTTTTACAGTTAACTTCTCTTTTAAGAATATGGTCATGTTTTCTGGAAAGAGGAGTAATTTGACTTCCCATTTGTAACCCTTTTATTTCTTTTTCTGTCTTGCTGATATTTGAATGGTTTGATGAATAAGGATGGAGAAAGTGGGTGCCCCCGTCTTATTTCTGGTTTTAGAGGGCGTGTGTTCATTTTCCATGGTTTTATCTAATGGTTACATGAACTATACATAGAGATTTGCCTTATGCGGCCTTCATTGTCTTGAGGTGTGTTCCTTCTGTCCCTAGTGCCTTCTGAGATTTACTAGAAAGGGAAATTGAACGTTGTGAAGGTCTTCTCTGTGTCAGTAGCACTGGCCACAGGATTCTGTTGCTGATCTATTTGTGCTGTGCTTCTGTGTCTTTGGACGTGTGCGCATTTCTAGTGGCTGTTTTGTGAAGAAGAGAATTGCTGTGTCCGCAGGCTGTCACAGACAGTGCAGTTTCCAGAATGTTCTGATTAGTGTTCCCAGTCTAAGTTTTCCATTAGGTCCTCATAATCACCAACACTTGGTAATTCTGTCCCGTTACTTTATTCATTTTGCAAATCTCTCTTTTTTACATTTATGTTGATTTTCCCTTGATCGTATCAGCTTTGGCTTAATAGCCCACTATTTATTTGTGCAAATAAATATACACACGTGTACTCTTCTGTCACACCAGAGGCAATCCTATCTATCTAGTCCTCTGTCTTGCACATTGTTTTTTTTTTTAAATTTCAACAATGTGTCCAGTGATTTCTGTGTAATTCAATGTCTTTTTTATAGCTACATAGTATCTGGCTGCATGAATATAGTTTAATTTTTCTACCATTCTCTTATCAGTGGGCACTTACATTATTTCCCCACATTTCCGATTATAAATATGCCATAACCAATGGGATTATTCACAAGACTTTTCACAGTTTTGCTACTGTGTCTTTGCATTGTATTCTTAGAACTGGTGCTGCCAGGCCCACGATGGATGCATTTGTAATTTAGCTGTGCATTGACAGATTTCCATGTTCTTCCATGGAGATTGTTCATTTTGTATTTCTACAAGCGCTCTGTGAGACATGCACTTATATAACTCTTGCAATACATTTTTTAGAATATATATAGCCAGGGAGTTAAAACAGTGGTACTTTTTTTTTAAATGAAGAATCTTCAAAAGTTAAGTATTTGATTTTTATCATATAACTTAATATACTACTTTAATATTCCTTATGTATATATTTTTGAGTTTAAAATATAATAAATATTCATGGTTTTTAAATCTTTTGGTTGTGAAGTTATGGAAAAAGTAAAGAATTCGTAGAGTCATGTAACTGGGAAATCAGAGGCAAAGACAGCCTGTTATTTTCAGGTACAGTAGGATCCAGGCTTGGTCTTCCGGTCCTCCCTCCCTTCCTTCTTCCTTTCCTCCCTCCCTCCTTTCCTCCCTCCTTTTTTCCTTCCCTCCGTCCTTCCCAGGGGACTGAGCTTAGTGCTTCCCCTATGCTAGGCAAATGTTCTCCCATGGGCTATAGCCCGACCTCAGTATGGTTTCTATACTGGCAGGCTTAGTCCCTGGTTTTCATTGCCTTTGCAACCTCCAACACCAGCAGGCAGGAGGGTGGCCTTTGTCCTGAATATGCAGGTATCTCCTCAAATGACTCTGGCCCTTACTTTGGGTCAGCCCCCAATGCATGTTTGTTTAACTGAGAACTCTCCTGTTTGGTCACTGCAATCAGTTAAGTCCCTCGTGGAGAGTGTTTCCAGGTTTTACTGCACACTGACAGGATTATTAATATTATTATGTTGCTGTTACACATCTTTTATATTCTACACTTTTATGTACTTACTATATGTTTCTACATGTAGGATTACGAGGTGAACGAATATGAACATTTTATAGATAGGATATGATGGAGGAAGGTCATTGGTTAAGTAATAAAGAAACTGCTTGGCCTCATAGGTTAAAACATAGGTGGGAGGAGTAAACAGAACAGAATGCTGGGAGGAAGAGGAAGTGAGCTCAGAGGCCATGCTCCCCTCTCCCGGGTAGACGCCATGAAGCAAGCTGCCAGGTCAGACATGCTGAATCTTTCCCGGTAAGACTGATGCTACACAGATTATTAGAGGTGGGTTGATTGGGATATGAGAATTAGCCTGTAAGGGCTAGAGTTAATGGGCCAAGCAGTGTTTTTTTTTTAATTTTTTTTCAAACTTTTTTTAATTTTATGTATGAGTACTCCCCATGTACACCTGCGTGTCAGAAGAGGGCATCAGATCCCGTTGTAGATGGTCATGAGCCACCATGTGGGTGCTGGGAATTGAACTCAGGACCTCTGGAAGAGCAGCCAGTGCTCTTAACCGCTGAGCCATCTCTCCAGTCCCTCCAAGCAGTGTTTAAAAGAATACAGTGTCCGTGTAATTATTTCTGGGCATAAGCTAGCAGGCGACCGGAGTGCTGGGGACGCAGCCCCGCCACTCCTACTACTACAAGGGTAAAAGTCTACCCAGTGTATTTTGAATGACATACAGTCTCAGTAGCCCTTGTCAACACTGTTGTTCTACCATACCACAGGGAGTATTATGAATTTTAATTTTACAAGGGTTATCACATTCTTTCATGCTTACTTTACATCAAAGAATATCTGTTCTGTTTATAGTAGACATTCAACATACAGTATAACTCTTGATTAACATGTCATATTTTCCTATATTCTTTTTCTGAATGTCTACACTCTCTCCTTCAGGTTTAGAAAGGAAAAAAAAACTGTGAAATTAAATAAGAATGCTGAGGGCAAAGACGTCAAGTCTTTTTGTTTCCTCACGTATGCTTAGGTTTTATCGAGTACCCTGAGTAGGTAGTGGGGCGTCAAGAAGTGGCGTGAAGTATGTTAGGCTGACCATCATTTCTTCAGTTATTCTATTATGGCTTCTCCAAGTAGACACAAAATTCACAGTGTGCTTCCTAGGTTAGCTGGCAAGGCAGATACCCATGTGCTTTTCCCAATCAGACTGTAAGTCCTGGGTGCATTATTCAGAGTTTCTGGAAATGCCCCCACTGTGTCCCTATGGTGGTTCTCATCCAAGATGACCTGGAGCTGGTTGGAAATTCAAGTTCTCAGGTCCAATTTCAGATGTACTGCAGCAGGACCTCTGGACACAGGACCTTGCAATACATGTGTGTGTCTGTTTCATGGTAGCAAAATATGCAAAGCATAAAATTTACCATCACAGTCACTCTCAAGTCTGTAATTCACCTTGGGAAACCTTCCTTTACAATTCTTTGCCTCTGGAAGCACTAAAGTCCTGCAGACATCTCCATGTTCTCTACTTCCTTGAGCCCTGGCAACCATCACTCTCTTTCCTGTCTCTGTGGACTGACTGCTCCAAGTGCTTCTCAGAAGTGGGATCATGAAACATCTCCCTCTTTTCCATTGTCTTGTTTCCCTCAGCATCATGTCCTCAAAATGAATCCATGTCGTAGCATATATCAGTAGTACCAAAATTCCCTTGTATAGGTATACCATATTCAGTTTATTCTGCCCTCCCAGGAATGGGGGACACCAGACTGCCTCCCCTGGCAGTTTGCATTTCCTCACGCCTACTAGGTGATTCATTTCAATGTTTAAATTTCAAAATTTCTGGGTACAAGGAATGAAGTGTGGTAACTGATTGTCATCTGGGCAAGTCTGGCATTGTTTTTAGAATGTTTTGAGCTGTACTTGACACAGCAAGTTATTTTGTGTAACTGGTGGGTTTGTGTGTCAGCTTGACACAAACAGGAGTCATCAGAGGAAGGAGCCTCAGCTGAGGAAATGCCTCCATGAGATCCAGCTTTAAGATCTTGTTTTCATTTAGTGACCAGTGGGAGAGGGCCCAACCCATGGCGGGTGGTCCCATCCCTGGACTGTTGATCCTGGGTTGTATAAGAAGGTGGGCTGAGCAAGCCAAGGGAAGCAAGCCAGTAAGCAGCACACCTCCATGACCTCTGCATCAGCTCCGGCCTCCAGGTTCCTGCCCTGCCTGAGTTCCTGTCCTGACTTCCTTCAGTGATGAACAGCAATGTTAAAGTGTAAGCCTAATAAGCTCTTTCCTCCCCAATTTGCTTTTTGGTCATCGTATTTTGTCAGAGCAATAGAAACCTTACCTAAGACACTCTGCATGCTTCATAGGAGGGCAGAACACCTCAGCTTCCGGGGATCCCACAAGGATGCAGAGTGGAGTCCTACAGTGCCAGGTCTAAGATCTTTAGTCACGTCTGAAAGAAAAATTGTTCAACTAAGCAGGACTCTGAATGTTGATAAACCGCCCTTCACTGAGACACTGGCTAATCTGATCTTTGAAATTGGAATTCCTTTAAAACCGTCTAAGTCAAAAGATGAAGAGAATAAAAGAGAAAGTAGAGAGAGAAAAGGGCGTGTGCCTTAAATAACGTCAAGATAAACAGAGCAGTTTGCATGATGCTCACATGGATGCAGTGAGCTGTTGCTGGAGTTGACAGGTAGAGAGCTATTTTGAATGAGCTGGATTCTCTTTCAGTTACCAGGGAACATTTGAGGTTATGTAAGCTGTCACAACAAGGACACTCAAATCTCACGAATCAGAGCACTAACTGACAGCCCGAGGTAGTCAGTCAGTTGAGGACCTGCGGTGATCTGCAGCTTGGCAAAGTGGGCTTTGGGATGAGGAGGTTCATTTTTCCCAGAGTCTAAGCCACAGTGTTCTGCTGGAGGCAGAATGCAATATTAGACAGGCTAATGATATGATATGATTTGGTACAAGGTTATTAATTCTAGCTAAAGAAATGAATGCATATATTTGATTGCAATGCATTTTATTTGGAAAGAGCAAATTATTCAAATGATGATATTCTTGAGGCCTGGCATGGGCATGTATCTAGATACAGTAAATCTGAGTGAATAAATGTCATAACCAATGAATCAATTTTGATCCGATTTATTGGGTACTTAAAACATGCAGGCTAAAGGGAGAGTTCATAATGACATTTCAATCCAAGACTTGCCATGTATGTGAAGGTGATTATATAAGATTGTAATGGAGTTGAACATGCCTGTTTCTAATGACATCATAACAGTTACAATGTCCTAGCACAACATGTGACTCACACACGCTTGTGGTGATGCCACATGGGCCAAGCCCACTTTACTTTTTGCATACATGTTGCATACATGTATAGCACACACAATTGCATGCAGTATACAACGCTTGGTAAGGATCACGAATGGTTATGCTACTGCTTTCTTTAGTACAGTCTACCATACAAACCATCATGCTAGCGTGCTCTTCCTCTTGTGGAAACTGTTCACTGCTAACAGCGACCTGCTTGTCTGCTGCCGCCTCACCCACCTCATATCCCCTGCCTCTCTTCCTGGCAGCATTCGCTTCAGGGCTTCATCTAATTTTCTGCTGTTTGGATGGCCATGGCACCAGGAGCGGGAGGCGGTATCACAGCAGCTAGGCATGGAGCAGCCCGTGCCACCCAGGTGTCTGCACATTTGCTTTACAGTGTTCACACCACGAGATCCCCTAACAGCGGGTGTTCCTGTAGTTACATGATCCAGGACTACAAATAGGTCACCAGACTCTCCAGAGTGTGAATACATACACGGGCAATGTGCTTTCATTGACGCAGCTCCTCTTGCTCTCACAGAACGAGCACACGACCTCGGACAACTTCTTAACCTCCCTAGTTAAAGCTTCCCAATGTTTGCAGCTGGGTGGATGCGAGACCCCAAGTTAAACAGCCCTACAGCTTTCTGCTTCTGCTTCTTATGTTTTATTTTCATTTTTGGGGGGGAGGGTAGAATTTTCATCTACTAATTCACTTCGCAATGTGTGAGAGAGCATGTAAGGCGCTGTGCTATAATTCTCCCCATAACTTATTAATCACTTTCCTTTCTCATCACTATAAAACGGCTCTGCTAAATGTCAGGGACAACAACAAAAATCTCCATAAACGGATCACCATAAAACTCATCCCAGAATAGCAAGCACTCTGCTTCCTGGCACAGCTCCCACCAGAGGTTAGCATCTCTCCTACCTTCCTGGTTCCCAAGGCCCAAGAGATGGGAGTCTAACATATGGCCCGGGTGCTACCCCACCCCTGTGCCCTTCACGGTCTCCTGACCTCAGCTTCATAGAGAAGCTTCTAAAAGCCTGGCGACCAATCAGCAATACCATGCAAAAGTTTTTGCTTTAAAAAAGCCATTTCAGAGGCATTTGGTTATTTAAAGATTTGAGGCTTCAAAAACACATCCGTCCCATGTGACAGAGACATGGGACTAGCAGATGTTGCCTGGTTTTTATTTTACCTTGGGATTTCATGGTATCCGTTTTTCAATTTCTAGCTAAGTATTAAATGCTTGTAGGATTTAAGTGGCTTGTTTAATTAAGCTTTAAAAAATGTATTTAAACTTTAGATCGGCCTAGATAATTCAAAAATAGAAACAAGTGTGGCAAGTCTGCCAGGTCAGGCTTGAACTCGAGTGCACTCCATCCTAAATGACTTGAGCCACGGGAAGTACAGTTCTGGGGGTCTCCGAGTAAGCAGTTTCAAATTCTTGACTTTTTCAGGGCTATTTTTACATAAGCAAGGCTATTATGCTCTCTTTCTGGCTCCCATCACTTAAAAAATAGCCCTTTTCAGGTCTGAAGTTGGGGAAGGAAGAGTGCGCAAGAATTAAAAATGAATACGACGTCAGCGGTGCCACACACCTGGGCCTCATTTTTATTGCAGCAGCGGAGCCCGGTGACAGCCACAATAAACAGGCACTGAAGAGCTGCCTTCAAGTGCCGAGCTCGAGCATCCCACTTCCTTCCGGTTTAGGGCTTATTGCTCGGCCGTCTGAAATAGAATTGAACCCAGCAGTTTGGACTCAGCCCAATGTGCGAAATCGCTCCTGTACTGTTTGTGGTATCAAGCGACGTCTCCAGATTAGAACTGGGGAGTTGACGGAAGCATAGCCGCGTGACTGTCTCCATCATTGGTCTTCTACTGAGATGCTGAGAGTCATATTTATGAGAGCAGACGGGCTGACTTCGCAAAGTGCAGCAATTCCTTTTTAATGAACATGTGTTCTAAACAACGTCTTTTCTCCTGTGTGGGGGCAGTAATTCCATAGTTTATATAATAAAGCTAACTGTATCCGACATCCGGGATGTGTTCTGGTGATGTAGTCCTTCCCTGTAAAGCCCACCTAGATGCGTTCTTTCTGCCGTTATTACCTTTTGGGAAGAAGCAGGCTGTGAAAGTCGGGACCTGGTTCACAGCTGGGGTTTTTCCGTTATATGGGTGCAGAGTCCTTCTGATCTCCTCAGCATCTCCATCGGCTGAGCAATTACTCCCAAATGGTCCTTTTCCTAGAAGAGGATTTTCTGAAAATACATCCGCCACTTCTCTCTATTGCTCCCAATCCTCTGTCCTCTCCTCGTCACTCCTGCTCCGAGGAGTACCTCCTCTCTGCTCCTGCGCAATCAACGGTGATTCCTCTGCACCAGGACCTGTCCAGGTGTGATCCATGCTCCCCACAAACACCAACTCTTCCCGACCTGTAAAATGTGGCCATGTCACAAGTGTGCTTGAAATCCTGAGTGGTTCCTGTCACATTCAGGATGCCGTCTCCATCACTACCACTCTGCCCACCTAGCCGCATTTGTCACCACTTGGAGGCTCCTGTCCTTTCGTCTTAGCGGAACCACAGTTCTGTCTCTTCTGTTTGCAGAACGTTTCTTCAGCTTTTTCACCTGACTGATGCAAACAAACTCTTTGCTCTGATGGGTGAGAATTAGCACTAATGCCCTTTCCCTCCGATGGGTGAGAGTTCCCACTGATGCCCCTCCCCTCCGATGGGTGGGAGACATCACTGATGTGTGGCTCACTAGGTACCTTCTCTCCTGGTGCCCCATGCTTAGCACAACATTCGCCGCCCTACTTAATCCATGGTCTCTTTTTTGTCTCTCTATGAGATGGTAAGCCTCTCACACCTGTAACACCAGCTATTGAATCTTCCCCCTTTATTTATTTTGTCTCCAGCATGCAATAGTAGTTTCTGATGTATAGAATGACTTCTTTCACTCACTTATTACCAAATGGTCAACTTTATTTACATAGAAGCTTGTTCCCAGGTGATTGCTTGTATAAGCACTATACTTAAGGCATCTTTCTCCAGATAATTCTTTGCATCATTGGTTTTATATTTTTGGTATTATCCTGCACTACCACCTGCAGATACCATACAGCAAAGCAACATATGCCAACATACCCTGATGAGAACAGATCCTGGATCCTTCAGCAAAAACTACAGAATGCCCTTTCCTACAGAAACTCCCATGGTCTGCTTGTCCATAGATTCTCTGGCAAACTAAGGGCCGTATGAGCATGACTTAGCCCATACCATGCTGGTTAATGACAACATCAGAGCTGATGAGATGGCTCAATGGGCACAAGCAGTTGCTGAAGGAGTCTGGGAACATGAGTTTGTTTGAGCTGCAGAATCTAAAAAACTGCATGGAGAGAACCAACTCCATAATGTTGTCCTCTGACCTCTATATCTGCACTGTGACATAGGCCCCCAATGCCATCCATACACACACACATGCACAATAAGTGACTCTCACAAACAGTCCCAACAAATGCTTGGACATGTACTTACAAAAATAAAACATATTTTTCTTTCTCAACAAATTGCCCCACACCACATTCACCTGAGCATGTTCATGGCTATGGGTTGGTGTGCATAGTGGAAAATCACTGAACCTGGGGTTATAATGTCGGCTTTGAACCTGGGACCTGTGCAGTCAGGAGACAGACCTTCCAGTGTGCAATCAGCTGTGCCCAATATATATATATGAATAGTGGCTCCCAGCTAGAGCATTTTTTAAAGTGGCCATGCCTGGAGGCATGTTTGGTTGATTTGGTGGAAAGCTGTGATGATGACCACAGCATTTAACACTTTATGGGAAGAGACCATGGGTGCTGCTATCCCTCCTACCTTGCCAGGGCAGCCTCCCCCACAATTATCTGGTCTGAAAGTATGGAGTTGGAATGGGAAATGAGAATGTAGGATGCCCTTAGTTAAATTTTCTTGCTTGATATATTTTTCATTTAGAGAGTGCTCCAGGAACCATGTTATGGTCCCTACTAGGTAGTTCACAAGAGGGCCATTTGCTTGCTCTATTTTGCTATGACGGGGTCTCAAACAACATAAGTAGCCATCTCCTTTGCTGCACTGAGCAATTGCACACCAGGTTCCACCTGCACTTAGGTCTTATCCCAAATGTGGACACCAAGGAAGCAGAAATTACCAGGCCTTCCCTAGCATTCATCTGCACAATACATGGCTGTCTTGCGGGCAGGTAGGGTGTTTCATGCTGGGTCCAGCTGGTTAATCCAAGGCACTTACATCCCTGTAGAAGAGATTGGGCGGCAGATGGAGTAGCATTCTCTCTGATGGTCCTTTACAGTCATCACTGCAGCAGTGGAGATATGCTGAGGTGCCCAGCTAGCTCCAGTTGTTCCGCTCTTCTTTGTTCCATGTCTACCCTTTGCCTCAACCGCAGATTCACAGCTGCCCCGGGCCTTTCCCAGAAGCTAGCTGAAGACCGCACAGATAATAACTTCTCATCTCCCTCCACCCCTTCTCTCTGTGGCTGACCATCTTGGTTTCTCAGATTAATCACTGAGCAATCCCAACTGCGCCTCTACACCTTCCTTCCTTCTAACAATAGTGTAAGGTGGCTGTTGGTTTTTTTTTTTACAAGAAGTCCCTCCATCCATAATTCTCAGGAGATTGTGCTTCCCTGACGCTGACTGATACAGATAATATTCCCCATGCAATCAGATGATTCTTGCAAGTCCTGGCTGTGTGTTCTAGGTACAGGCCAGGAATAACCATTTTCACAGAGAACTCACCAGAATGTAACACCTGCGTTTTGTTTACAGCTATATTGGTTGGGAATAGTGGGTATAGCTCCCAAATATCATTTTCATAAATAATGAATTAATGTGTCTGGTTTTGGTGCTATATACATGCATAGATATGTCCCATGTACATATATACATGCATATATGTGCATTATATTTCTATTCTACATGTAACATTCATGTGATTTTCCCTTTAATTTTAGCATTTAAATAATTTTAATATCTAATGACACAGCTGAATGTTTTACTATTTAGAATATCCTTTAGGGAAGGCAGAGTGATAAATGCCTAAGTATTAATGCCAAAAGAGAATTCCCCTTTGTTTGTATTGGCATCCCTCTGATGAAACTGTTTTCTGATTCCCTACATCTCCTCTCAACTCCATGATGCAAACATCTGTTCTGCCCCCTCTTAGTTATTTGTTTTCAGTACTTCTCATTTCAGATGTTCATGGTCTCTATCCCTAATGGACAATAATGTACTGTATTTATTATACCCTTTACAGTTAAAAAAATCATGTAAATACATGTTCCCTAAATCAGTTGACTTATTAGAAGTTTAAAGTCAAGCATTTCTTGTTCATGTTCAATATTACCCTGGTTCTTTATACAGAATTTTCAGTTTATACATAGGTATGGGATGCCAGGGACTAGGGAAACTTCAGGAACTAAAAGCGACAGTGAGCTACTTACAGTGGTGAACCCTGACTTTCCCAGAGCATATTCCGAAGAGAAAAATAGTTCAGGGGAAAGTTCTACACCAAAGGTGGTTTAAATGCTATCGAAGGTGATTAGGAAAAGAGTCTAACATTTGTATTCAAATAAATATGTAGAATTTATAGAAACTAGAGGGAAAAAATAAGAAAGAAGGTCTTGAGTCTAGAGAGTAGCTCAACGATAGAATGCCTAACCAGCTCATACCAACCTCTGTATTCCATCACCAGCACTATAAAAAAATCAATGCACACACATAGCAAAAAAATCCAATAATAATAAAACTGTATTCCTAGATCTTTGTTGATATGTATCCTGTGTAATGAGAGAGCATTAGCATTGGCCCCAAGGAGACAGAACCCGTCATGCACAGCGCCTTCTTAGAATGCACATTCCCCATTTGGGGAAGAAATTCCCTTTTGTCATTAATATTTTGTTGTAACTTAAACACAATAAAGTAAGAAACAGAGTCTTGTATTAGAAGCTATTATACCAATGCAGTCTTCATAGTCTACAGATGTAGTAACTGGGCCTGGGCCTTGTGGCTAACAAGTGAGGTAGAATCTAGAAATCAAAGAAGGTGTATCATTTCCAAAGTCTGCTGCTGAGTTGTTACTAATGAGTTGGGCAATTCCATGTTTGAAGCAGTAATTCAGGGCACCCTTCATCTTTGGAATCCTATTAGGACAATGGGATCTTGAGCGATAATAAGAAAGACCACTTAGGCAAGGGGATTCAATTCCTAGCACATGCTGGACCCACAGGATCAAAGTAGAACATGGAGGAGTATCTGGGTCCAAGGAAACTACCAGGAAAGGATCTATAGCCTCCCCCTCCTGAACTCTAAGAACACAGAGGGAGAAGGTTGCAGAAAGTAATGGCTCATACACATGGAGCCTGCCGAGCCAGGGGGCTTTGAGAATTCCACCTTTCAAGTCAGCATAGCTGTGCTTAAGTATCCTTTTCTTTCTTATTCTCTATTATTTAATCTCCACTCTTACATTTATGTCTCGTGGTGGTTTTCTTTTGTTTCTGTGCTGCTCGGGCTTTAATGCCGTTGTTTATGTTTCTCTACCAAGTTTACTATAAACATTCTTTACCACACTTTCCTCTAACATCACATCTACCGTCCCTATTCTTCTTATGTCTCCTTTCTCTCACCCTTTCCACTAGTTTCTTCTTAGTTATAACCTACCAGAGATATAATAACTTCTTTTTCATATGATATATTTTTTAAATTTTTACTATAATTTTTTTGAGGTTGGAATATAAGTATATAATTTCTCCCTTCCCTTTTCTAGTACCCCTTACTTGCTTTCTCTTAAATTTATTGCCACTTTTTTAAATTGTTGTTACATATATATGCATATGTAAATATGTGTATAATATGTATGTATCTTTTCCTAAATATATAAATACTAAACACCCATGCTCAGTCTGTATGTTTCTTGAGCATATATTATATTCAGGGCTGGCCATTTGGCTTTGGATAACTAATTGGTATGTTCCTCCCTGGGGAAGACTATTTCTCCGGCTCTCAGTATTCCTTAGCTCCTTTGTTCAGGGTTGAAGAGCTGTCAGCTTTCCTATTGCTACCTTAGTGAATCAGTTGGTGCTGCCCTTGTGGTC